TTCAGGCACAAGGTTGAGGAAAAAAAAGGGGGGGGGCTGCCGTGGTAGGAGCTTATATCACAAACATTTGTCAAAGGGACAATATTCAAGGTTTAAAAAGACTCTTGCGACATTAACCATGAATGTATTTTAGATTTTTCCTCTTGACTAAACACCATATGTTTGAAACGCCCCTCTATGTCATTAATATCAGGGTACAGTGTACAAGACAGGCATACAGAAGCCTCACAGACAAAAAGTCAATTTGTTCAGAGCTCTGCACAAAAGACGCCAGTTGCTCAGCAGAGAGAGGCCCCTACTTGAAGACGACGGGCCATGATGCATGTGTCTCCGCCTGCAGTCCCTCCTGTGGCGCTGCAGTGGGTTTTCATTGTTTATCTCCAGCTAGCTTGTAAGAGGGGAACTAATTAAGAGCTGCCTGTAGGTGGCCAATGCAAGCTTTTACAGGTCTGAAAGGAGACAAGGAGGAGGAGGAGGAGGAGGGCAGGGAACCTGGCCACACCCCGCAAGAGAAAAGAGACGACTGCCTCGGGTCACGAGATGACAGACATTGCTGATCTGGTGCTGCTTGACAAAGTAAAGAACCAGGGGACGGGTTTTTGGGTGCACGGCGTGGCTGAGAGATGAGGCAGTTATAGAGAACAGAGAGAAAAAAGGGAATCACAGCAGAGAGCAGAGAGAGAAAGATAGGACACAATCACCGCAATCAACTAAACAAGGCCTTCCTCTGTTTGGGGCCTAAGAAGTGTACTTGGAAACATTTACTCATTCTTCAAGAGGGTAAAAGTCAACCTGCTTTGGAGTGGATTTAGGATCAGCAGCCTCACTGGGGTTTGTTATGATTTCATTCAACAGTTAACCAGTAAATCTCAGAAATGTACATCCTCAAAGCGTACAGCTGTACACACACACTGTATCATATCAAACCACTAAGCCACTTGGTTCTCACACTTTCTAACGCATGTACACAATCAACGGAAATCAGTGTTTGTCTGAACTGTAACAAAATCAAGCCTCATTTACACAGGGCCAAGTAAACAAATAATGAAGGAAGTGTTTACAGTAAAGAGGGAAGAGCTATGTTGACGGCTGTGGAACAAGTGTATGGTTTGTTTGAATTTTTTTCTATTTGAGACATTTCATAAAATCCAACAATCACAGTCGTAAGCTGGTTTTAAACAAACAAACAAAGTCATCACAAAGATTTATCTTTTCAGTGTTGCTTGTGTGTGTGTGTGTGTGTGTGTGTGTGTGTGTGTGTGTGTGCACACACGTGTGAGTGTGTTTTGGGTCTAGAGGAGAAAAAGACATGATTGCGTGTAGATGCTGCCCTGCACCACTTCCTCTTCAGAAGCCCAGAGACGTCACAGCCAGCTTTATTGATGCCTGCCTCTCTCACACGTGAACAAGCCTCAATTTACATTAAGGCTAGAGGGTGTGGAGAAGCTCCAATTCCTGAATATAAAATAACAGAAAACTGATACATGTTTGTGTGTGTGTGTGTGTGTGTGTGTGTGTGTGTGTGTGTGCGTGTGCAAGTCGCCTCAGGCAGTAAGGGTGGATCTGGTAGCTGTCTGCAGAAATCCAGATAAGGATGCCAAATGACAGTGCTGTCCTTAGTGGCGTGACACTAGGGGCAAAACAAACCAGCTGTTATGGGAGTGCCCAGCATGGCTCAACTCTGAGCTTGGCTGTTACAGCTGAGTTATGGGCACGGCAGCACTGCAATGGATACAAATAGACACTGTCTGTCTCTGCAGCTGGAAGACTCGCTCTCACACACTTGGGCATTAACAGCTAGCGCTCTCACACACACATGCACACACGAATAGTCACACACATAGATAGATCTGAAAAGATAAAAACATGTACACGTGTCCAGGCCATGAGATGACACTTATTGAATTTTCTTTGACAGATTAATATTAAAGTCTTTTAATAAAGGACTACAGATTAATGAACTAAGCAGCGAATCTGACAGCATGCTTTTATTGAGATTAACTGTGCAAGAGCCATCGTAACGTAAAATGACAATTCAAGCTGACAGTAACACAGGCTGCAGTCTTTGTATAATGTATAATGATACTGGGACTGTCATGAGCAAACAGGGCCCTAAAACAACACGCTATGGGCTGTTCTATGCTATATTGTACCAGCATGTTGCCTGTTTACTGTAACAGAGGAGCGCCATCTTCTGTTAGGAGAACAAGGGCTGGATTAGTAGACATGACGTGTGTTCTTTGCATATGCTTGGAGTATTCAGTGACACTTTGGGAGCACTTTGGGATTCAGAGTCTGCTACTTTTAACAGTAATAAACTTGGTAGCTGCAATGGAGATGCAACCTATGCCCCTGCAGTTATGTAACAGTTTTTAAAAAACATCAGGATTCACGGCCAGACGAATGACTGAACAGAAAAAATGCCATTAAAAAATTTCCAAAACATGAATTTGCACATGTATGTCTTGTGTCAATTATATATATAAGATATATTATAGTATAATAATATGTGATAGTGACGATGATGCAGCTTAGACAGCAGTCAATAATATATTGGCATAATCTATGCATAGACAACCAGGTCTTTACTTATGTTTCTTACCTTCTTCTTTACATATCAGCACAGTTATCAGTTACTGTTACAGTATCGTCACGCTATTTGATTCAAGGATGGACAATAGCATAGACACTGCAAGAGTCTGGCTATGACAGGAAGTTTCAAGAATGATGCAGACTTTTTCTTAAGCATTAATTTAAAAAAACAATAGGTTTCTATTGAGGAAAAAACCACCCAAAAAGTAAAATATGCTATAATCACATTTTCCAGGAGTGGCGCAGATATATCACATTTTAAATGATTAATAGGAGTTTGGGTGGTGGCTAGTCGTGGTTTCTGTGCTGTGTAAACTCAACATTGACATTTTCCATGGTGTTCTTTGGACCCTCAGATAAGATCAGGGTGGATGGAGGGATGGAGAGGTGGGGGAAAAGGAAGAGAAAGAGAAAAAGAAGAATAGCAGGAGAGCCAGTACAGTACCTTGTGGAATTCAAGTGCTGTGTGGAGAAAGAGTCCTGGACCAATGCCACAAACGGGCAGGTCAAAAGACTGCAAGAGAGAGAAGAAGCATTCCACTGCTCATAACTCTCATTTTACTGTTCAAATTTGTTTTGTTAATGTCTTCATTGGAATTAAAAGGGCTGGATGGTTGGAGAGCATTTCATCACCATTTCAATATTAGTAAACTAAAAACAAGAAATATCAGATATTGCGTAAGATTTTTGCCCTATATGGTAATAACTCTGTACAAAAGGTGCACTAAGCTTTTTGTTTTCAAGAGGGCACAGAGAGGAGGAGAATGTAGAGTGTGTAAGAAAAGCCAGAGGCCAGAGATGGAGTTGGGTGACAGGGGTGACTGTATATTAGCAGGGCTAGCAGAGGGAAAGGAATGCCTGTTAGGCATTAGACAGTATGTGGTTATAAACAACATTCACAAACACACATCTATGAGAATCAACACACATGCACACATTCTTACATAGGTGAATAAGTAGTAGAGACTTAATCATAAGAAATAACAGAAAGATCGAGTCTCACATTCTCCAGTGCAGGGACACTGACATGTCGCAGCTCTCCCTTACACCACAAACAAAATAACTTTTACTTTCAGGACATTAGCTCCTCTCTGGGCAATACTTTAGAAAGAACCAAACTTTATAGCTGATACATCAAATCCAATTCACACCAATGTGAACTAACTGAAAATGCAGCATATATACAGTATGTTGCAGTAATAGCCCATAAATAACTGGTAATATTGGTCAGAAAATGGAACCATCAAAAAATTACTTTAAACATCAGCTACAAAGCATTATGGGGGATACCAAGTAATAAAAGTAACTCTGTTTACTCAAATCAACCAAAATATGCACATACAAAGGACTAAATGTAAAGCAAAGGACTACTACATGACAACATGTCACAGTGTCACATCACAACACTCAAATTGCATCTCACAGCCTTCAGTGCACATGAGCTGTCACTCGAGGCATTAAAGAGTGTTGCAGCTCACTGTGGCAGATGTACACTATGGATTAACCGTATCCATTATTCATGACCGAGAACAACCATATATACATAACATCAACTACATGATAACCCCGTGCAGCACTCAAGCTTTTCCAAAGCCAAGTACATAATCACCTAATCTAGATGCATCTGATGCTACATGACTCCATCCCAGTGGGAAAGGCACTCAAACAGTCTCCCACTGCAGGGATTAAGCTAAACACTAGTGTTGACATGGTGTCTCGCCACTCTGCTTCTATGTGAACACTTGTAGTAAATGCTCATGGTGTAAACATGTGAAAACACCATGTGATCTGTTGACACTGGTGTAAAGACAGAAGGAATTAATAGAGAAATGGAGGGTTCGAATTGTTGTTGTGTTCATTATTTCATTCTTTGCTACAGCATGTTAATACAGGAAGCAAAGAAAATCTAATTACATCAGAATTACATTTTGGTTCACATTAATGCAACTCATTTATATGAGTGGATAAGCGGGAGGAAGGAACGTCATCGCAACGCATTTGCAATTCACACAGCAACCAACAGCGGAGAATTCTCAACCTTAAGAGGGCATGTGGCGACAAGCTTTCAGTACCTTTACATGTCCTACAACCTATTGAGAGGGATTTCTTTGACATTTCCCTCAAGACTAAAGGGATAATCCCCTTTATAACTCTCTGTACCTGATATGGCCTTGGCCCTTGAGAGTCTCTTTAACCCTCAAGAGAGTTCAACAAAACAGCTTCATTTAGACAGCAGCTAGAGGGGCTCTGTGGTCTCACAAAAGGCCTTTAGGTACGATGATGAGTAGGGAAATCAGTATAATATGGATCAGAGAATGAAGGTCAGTGCAGGGTGATGGATGGGAGGGAGATGGGGAGGGGTGGGAGGGTTCCAGAGAAGCGCTAAGGGGAAACTTTCTGGGACTTACTGAGCTTTGTGTGTCACCACTGGCAGGGGAATGTCCTCACTCATGTAGTCCAGCTCATCGGTTAAGCTGTTGGCGCGGGAGATGTCGATGGAGGTGCTGTTGTCATGATTCCTCCTTACTGCAATGCACAAAAATAACAGATATAACATTTTAGTACATCCATATTGAGCTTGTGAACTGTACACAAGTTAGAATCTGCTTAATTTATATTGAGAAAGTGTTTTTCAATTAATTAATTTTGATTGGAAAGAAAAAAAATGGATAGTTGCAATGTATAGAACTGAAGCTACAAGATACAAAAGAGTTAAAGGTCCCATATTTTACACTTTTCCAGTGCTTTATTTGAAGTACCAAAACCATCTCAATTTAGTTTTACATCTCCTCTCTCAGGCTTCTCTCTGGAGTATAGTAACAACAGGTCGTTCACTCATGATTTCTTTCTGAGTGACTGAATAAAAAAAATAGCAGATTTTCGGTAAACGTTCCGAGAAACCAAATCCTGCTAGGCCGGATGGTTCAGGTGGGCGGGGCTTGGGGCACAGCTGAGAGCGGTGGCTGCTTTGTTGTGACATCACAAAGTTACAGAAGTCCTGACAGCTCATTTCAAGGCTCAGTTTCTGAATACAGGATGTGTGCATTTCTCTGTGGACTGAACGAGTGAAACTTTCACAGTATTTATAAAGACCCTAGACCTGCTTCAATATTAAAAAAAGACATGACACCTATCTTTGTACAATATGGGACCTTTAGGTAACTATTAATGGACATAGTTTACAAAATAAGCTGCTATAATTGTGAGTATGCGTAACACAAAAGCAGACACAAAGAAACAAAGATACCTGGAGAGCCAGGGCAGCTCAGAGTGAAAGACGACCAAGAATAATGAGGAGGGCCTGATGCCATGCAAAAATGATTAAAATAGGAGGAAAGAAAGACAGGAGAAAGAAAAAAGAAGAAAGGAAAATATGAATATAAGTTGAAATATGCACATCTTATATCAATGGGTTCCTTCAGTGTTCAACCACTTAGTGTAAAATATAAGTGTCACAACTGTAAATTAACATGGAGGTTTTCAAAAACCTGTACATATGAGAGGAAGTTTTTTTAATTTGACAATTCATATAAGGAAACAACATGTGCAGAAGCAGAAATTGCAGTGCTCCAGTTCAACAGTGCAGCTGGATGGCTGCTGGCGCGGCTAAAAACAACAGCAAAGAACAACATGTGTAGCAGGGTCTTGACCTGCAGTCAGACTGTCAGCAGAGTTTGACAAGTCTCTCCTCCAAACCACCAGGCCTCCATTGTGATAAAGAATGGAGAGGCAAATCTGTGTCCGAGAACAGAATGACCATTCCAATTCAAGTAAAAGCCATTCAGCCTCTCTTGTATTCCATCATCGAGTTTGTTTAACATTGTCCAATCCGGAAGCATAGACAGCAATAGAGAGAGAAACATGGCCGGAGGAAGGGAGAGAAAGTGGGAGAAAGAGAAAGGGGATGGGGGGGGGGTAACTAGAGCTAACCAGAGCCACCTTTAGCCCCAACTTCAGCTCACTGAAGGAGACGTGAACCGGCTTATCAGCTACACAAACAGGATAAGGGTTTATTAACATTATGTAGTTTATCTAGCCCATCAGTGCAAACGTGTTTGGTTGAGAGAGAATGAGCCAAGGGCAGTAGAGAGAGAAAGAAAGAAAATAAGTGCGGTGAAAAAAAGTCAGTGAGATAGAGATAGAGAGAGAGGGAGAGAGAGAGAGAGAGAGAGAAAGAGAGAGAGAGAGAGAGGGCGCTCCATTGAGAGATTCTCACAGACAGGGAGGTAGGTGGGGCCAGACAGATAAGTGGAGCGATAAGCCGGACATTGACTAAATCAAACAATGACCAGTTTATTTCTGACCACTGGTGCTCCACAATGGCCGCTTATCAACTCCCGACCCCCTCCCTCTCTCCGGTGTCCCTGTCTAGGTCCCCACGGTCCCCTAGGCCCATGCCCATTCCTAGCCAGGCCAGCCCTGTTCCTCACCCGTGGTGTTGGCAGGGCACCCAGTAAAGAAAACAGGCCAGGTCAACCCAGGACCAGTGTCTGAATTCTCTCTGCTTGGCTCTGGTTTGGTCCAGTTGGGGACAAAGGCCCAGCCAGCCAGCGAGTCTAATTAAAATACTGTCTGGGCCACATTAAAAAGGCAGGCTAGCTAATGATTAACAGAGAGGAGTTTTTAATAGGAGAAAAAGGAGTACTTAACCAGTGGAAGGGGCTGCTGGTTAGACAGTGCAGTGATCACACACACACACACACACACACACACCATATAATCAGTCTTTGTGTCTGTCGTTTGGACAAAGAATAACAGGCATATAAAAGAGGCTTCATTGTTGTCTTCTTGTCACTTGGATTTTGGTCCAGTTTGTGTCTTGAAACATAAGATTATGGAACGGAAACTTGAGTGCACTAAAATATTGGTAAACGGAAAACCTAATCTCTGGAGTCCCGTTCAGTGCACCTCAGTTGTGATGGGGGAGTCAGAAAGACTCACCTGTCTGTCTGAACATCCGAGTGATACCTGCGAAGAAAGCCAGAAAATATTGTTAATATGCAACTTCTGGGCCAGATAGAATGGCAAAAAAAAAGCATCCAACACAGTATGGGAAAAGATGGAAGCGCAGATAACACTGTCTATCCATTCATACATTCTTTTAATCCAACAGTGTGTCACAGTTCATTCATGCATTCATTCATTCTCTGCCCACATTTGCCATTTTACTAACTCTCTTGACATTTCAGACCCTGCTGCTCCCTCCTGCCCTGCAGTAACCCTACCGGTCTGAAACAATCAAACTGCATTACAATATTATGCTGACTCATAAACCCCGTACAGCAAAATCGAAATGAAACCAGCTTGCTAAATAGGACAAGTGGTTTATAAAACATATACAACCTAACGCATGTTGTGTTTACATGACTCTTTCAGCAGCTGTGTGACCTGTCTTAAGAGCAATTGTTAAGAAAACATTTGCATCTCTCGAGGTATTTTTTTTAAGAAATCCATGAGCCTGGTACCAGGTTGAAACAGCGATGGTTAAAACAATAAACTAAAAAAAGCAGGAGCCCTGGTGTAGACAGTTTACATCGTAGATGCCTGTTTTATGGCGGGATCTGAAGCAAAGATCATACAGTCTCAGGCTGTTTCAACTCTACCCATTATCATTAGTGACAGCAGGCTGCAGACTTTGGCTCCTTCACAGGGTTTTATACCATCACCAGCTTGTCCAATTCATTTTTCCACTCCATAGTCTCACCCTGTCTGACCTTGTGTGAATATATAAGAAAAAAATGTAATTATTAGAACATCATTAAAATGATTGTACCAGTTGACAGCTTATTATGGTGCATGTTGTTGTGTAAATATGTGAATGGATGCTGGATAAAATGTGACGTCTAACTGATTAGATTTTTGCATTAACTTTGAGTTTTTTCCACACACACTTTCCACGAAGCACATGTTCTCCTTCGTAGTTTCCTGCTTAATTGGGTGGATCTTAAACAACTTTTCCCCTCATAAGTGGTTGATCTTCTTGTGATGGTGTGCCTTTATGTCAAGTTTATGTTGCTCCAGCTCCTTTTATGACTGCACGCTTTGACAGGAAAAACTCATTAAGTGCATTTATTAACCCGGAGTCTAGGTCAATTCATTTGGCAGGGTTGGCTTTTAACACAGGAAGTCAACCAACCGCCCCCTTCACCAATCAGCCATCGATGATATACTGCTTGTGCAGACCTGCATTTAAAACAAAAACATAGTTTCTATGGCAATGTATGAGTGCTGGCAACAATTAGGAATCACTATAGGTAAAATTTTATAATTATCTGCACATGGAATTATCTGAAATAAACATAATCAGTCTGGTCGAGCTTTTCTCAGACTCATGACACAAAGATTACACAACTGGGCTTTGGCAAGATTATAGCAATATTGGTAAACTGCAAGTGGTATAAAAAGAAATTCCCACTTGTAACCTTGACAAGTCCATATTTTTTTCTACCTAAGCCCAATGTGAGTGTCTGTGGCCAGAAAAGGGGACAAGTGAAGCAGTAAAGAGCTTGTAACCATGACCTCTAATCACCACTGAGACTGTAATGGCTTCCATCTGGCCTGCTAGAGACACCTGGCAGCCATCTTGGCTCTAAGGGGATCAGGATAGGGCCTCTGTTTACTGTGTGAGAATGAGAAACCAGCACATAACAACTCCTCCAATAATGTGTAATGGTCTACACAGTTTGTATGAACTGAGAGAACAAAACTGCAACCTTTTGCAAGAGTTTAGCTCTAAAAATGACAGTCGAATATCAAATCTATGAGAGTGTGACATAGTGAGATGTTGGCTTTATACTTTCTAGCTTTTGTGGTAACTCCACTCGTATAAGTGTATTGTTTGTATTATATCCGCAGACTTTTAAAATCAGAATGACAAACAGAAATATTAGCTGACAGCTAATATTTCTAAAGCAACTGCCATAACAAATGTCATTCCCATGGAGTTGTTTTGGCCATTTGAATTCCCTGAATGCAAAAAACACATCAAACTTTTACTGAAATAATGGATTTCCAAGGCCTTTAAGGCAGCATGACATCATTTCACATCCCTCAACACGCATTATTTCATCAAACAAAACTGTATTAAAAGGAACAGAAAAAGGTTGGTTTCATTACTGCAGTAACTCAGTTCGTCGAATGTGCTCCACATGACACAGGCCTCATTGCCAGCTGGCCTTAAACTGTATTAAAAACGGCAAAGATATCTACACAACAATAACCAATGCAATTGAGAAACACCTTCTTCAAAAACACCTTCAGAGAACATGGCGTTCTGAGGTGTCAGGTTCTGAATAAAAACTCTGTTATGAGGACATCCAAAATGAAGTCAGTTGGATTAAGCAGTAATAAAAAAGGGCTTAGATCTTTCATGTGTAATCTTGGCTGGTTGACTTGTCTGAGAGTTGCTGGAAGAAAAACGTGTTAGACTTAGAGGACCTCAGAGTGAACATATGAAAAATTGAGTGACAATAACTCTTGATATCTATTTCATATCAAACTGTCACTGAGCAGTGTTCTTTTCACTCTATTACCTTCGACACTCCCCCTCGGCTCCTCCGAGAAAAATGAGACATCCTTCTTGTCCACAGAGTCGTCGATGTGATCGTAGGTGATCTGGGGGATTGATACAGCCCTCTCTGAGGCCACACCCATGGAGCCATTACCTCTGGACTTCAACCTCCTCTTGGTCCCCCTTTTCTGACAGACAGAGGAAACATCAGCCCCGTTAATACTCGATGATAAAGTGTAATTATAATCAGCAAAACCATTCTGATCTGTAGAGTTGAATGAACTTTGTAAATCCAAAGTGTAAATAGCTGGAAATAATCAACAGAATTGCAACTGCTCCTGACGTACAGCAAATGAATAAATACAAAGTGTGACAAATTGTCCTGATGCTGTATACATGAGATGATGTCACAGTCAAAAGGGTGCTTTTGTGCCTTCCTTCAAACTTTACCTTTGAAAATAAGTTAAGCCGTCTATCAAAGCATTGCCTAGTTATAGTTCACAAAGGCAACATTGCTGCTGACATTAAACTGCATCTCTGCTCGTGAACGTGGCCCGGAGGTTCATCAACAGCTTCACTTTGGGCAAAAAACTCACCTCCAACCTGAAGGAGGCAAATCCGACATTTTCCTTTTATCGTGACCTCAGACTTCAAATTCTGAATCTCATCCCAGCTACTTCGCGTTCAGCTGGAAACCGAACACACGCGGTTGATGAAGCAAATGGAAATACAAGATCAGTAAAAAAAAAAAAAAGCAGAGGTGTGATTCTGTCGTCACCAAACGCAACACTCTCCACTCCGTGCCTGCACAAAAAGATTCTGTCCATGAAGATCACAAACAGAATCAGTGACAAAGTTGAACCTGGGTGGAGCCCAAAGCTCACAAGATACACGCTTGACTTATTGACATATCTGCCATATCGACAAGCCACTGGCACCATAGAGGCTTTGAACACGGCCCACTCTGTATTCTGGACAGCAGTTTGCTGCATGGAGGTCATTTCTATGCAGCTGTATATAAATGACTGTTTCATTCTCTGCAACAGGGCTCCAGGAGTTTGGTCTCATAGATTAAACCATTCCAACTGAAGCTCCAGCTCTTGTGTTACAGCAAAATCTTCTAATATAGACTGGAGAGAATCTTGTAACCCAAAGCAGCCCCTCTGCGCTTTGCTAACTAATGCATGTTGTCTGTGTGGATCTTATCTTCACTGAATATCTGAAACTGATGTTTTTTTTTCGGTTTTTTATTTTTTCTGTTGGGTCCCTTCCAATGCTGTATGTTAGAAATAGTGGTGACAATTAGTCTTACTGTAAATCATTTATACTCCATTTAAGATAAACACTACGACTGTAACACTGTAACTGAACATTAATTTTGTGCAAAGTGATAGCCTGGTAGTAGCACAGCACATTTGAATACAGTTCAGGCGTGCAAAATTGTCCAGGAAACATTATTCTCGGAACAATGAATCGACTTATCCAGCCATTCCAAACGAGTGTTAAAAACCCACGCTATGCCAAAAACACTGACATACCAAGACACATCATTTTCTTTTATTACCTGACTAGTTCATACTGTTGTTATACATCACAATCTTCCCAAATTCTCTGCTTGCACGCTGCTGACATAAGCGGTAGCTGTTTAATCTCATTTTAACACATAGTTTTTCACAGCTATGTGTTATGTGTCAGTGAGTTTCTGGACCTCAATGGTCCCCCAGTCCAATCCTTAGACTAACCCACACCAACGTCATGGATGTGGCCTTTGTAGAAAACTCAATTATCTGGACTCAGTGGGTCAGACTTTGGCATTGACAAGTGGCCAGCAGTTCAATCCAAATACCCAAAGTTTGAATGACTCATTAGGAAAGAGAGTGAGAGAGAGGAGGGGTGGTGACTCAAAGAGAGAAAAGAGAGAGAATGATGGAAAGACAGGAAGAAACTGTAACATATACACTGAGTTTAAGAGAAAGGAAGATTAAAAGAAAACAGACTGGTGGAGTCAGATAGAGAGAGAGAGATGAAGGAGAAAGACCACTGTGAATTGTGAATGAGCAAGAAAGAGACAAGGCAGAGAGGGGCAGAGAAAAATACTCAGAAAGAGAGGAGACAGGAGAAAGAGAGGGTGAAATAAAGTCTGTTAAACGGAGAAGAAACAGGGGAGAGAGAGAGTCTTGAAAGACAGAGAAAGGGGAGAGAGGAAAGTCAGAGGAGAGAGTCACATGCTGAAACAGAAAGGAGCGGAAGCAGCCTTCATTCTCCCCAATATATGTGGGTTCAATGCTACACAAAGATTTTTTTGTTGTTGTTCTACTAGACAAAGGTTTACTCCCATGAGAAAGGCGGCGGTGACATCATCTCAACTGACTGAGTCTTTGTGCGGCGGAGACAAAGGCCTCGAGTCATCCTGGTGGAGTCAGGCCTTCGAGGGGAGGGGGGATGTGGGTGGACGGTGGTGGGGGGGGGGGGTCCTGTGTGTGCACGAGTTTTGTGTGTTGTGTGTTGTGTTGTGTGTCCTTCCACGTGTGTGTACACTTGTGGGAACTAAACTTGCCCTTTTATGCCGTATGGCCCGGACGCAACATAGCTAATATTGTTGTGAAAGGTGAACTGCACAAGGAGACAATACGGTGTGGGCCAGACGTATGCAAAACCACCCTGCAGTATCACAGTCTGATGGCTTTTTCTGACAACACTCTTTTGAAGAGTTCTTGACGTTCCACAGCTCAGGTTCAAAGGATCATTTCAAATGTTTACTGAAAAAGAAAATGTTTTGTTTTTTTTTTTTTTATATGCAGTATGAGAAATACGTGCAATGTCATATCTAAATGAGATATCTAAAAATCAGAGGATGAACAAATAAACGGTCACATGTCCAAAGTTTAAAGACTGACTGCTGTTATTTTTCTAGGTGTTTCACCTCAATGGCAAAAGTAAAGGGACACAATCAACAGTGGAAGAGAGAGAGAGACAAGAGAGAGTCTCTGGTTGGATTTAAACTAAGGGTGTCACAAGGTTAGCGCCTTAGCCCACAGCTTCAAAGACATACTTAATATTTTAGGGATATAGAACTGTTTCAAAGGGAAACTAGAATGGCTCTCAGTAGAGGCCAAAGAATCCTACACATCTTTTGTTCTCATGGATAGCTTTTATTTATTTATTGTCTTTAATCCTTACACAAGACAGCTGTATGGTTTTATTATCTGTTGTGCGAAATGATGACATCAGCATTATACAAGTCATACAGCTCTACAGCTGCACGAATTGTCTCACTGCTATGTCGCAACTGCTATTGTTATTGTTATCTCGCAATTTTAAGGAAAGTGATGATAAAAATCCTGGAACCTCCCCTATAATCATCTTTGCACCTAAAATTTAACGGGTTCCTCCCTGGACCATGCCCCATCCCTCCAGCAAGTTTGGTGCAAATCAGTTCAGTACTTTTTGCGTAATCCTGCTGACAAATAAACAAACCAACTAACAAACAGATACGGGTGAAAACGTAACCTCCTTGGCGGAGGTAATAACTGAGAAGAGCAAATCAATCACAGCTGAAAACTCTACAAATCAAGAGCCACACAATACCCTTGGCTCGAAATTCAAGTTAAATTGAATAATTACCGATATGTTCAGTTTCCTAACATTAGGACTGGAGTTGTCAGATTCCACTGTGGTGACGGCCTCTGAAGTTAGGACGTACATTTTCCACGTAGCAGCACAGCCACCTGGTTTCTCTGCTGCATAGCACCTCCACAGTGTCTGAAGGGGGGCAGGTTAAAACATAGAAATAGTGTTAGTCACCACGCTGATCCACAAATGCTGCGATCATTGTCCTTTTTTCTTCCTTCCTCCCACAATAAAAGTTTTAAACCAACCACAGACTATGTCACTGACTATGTCAGTGATGCAGCAATATTAGCCACAAATTCAGGCACATGTGTAAATTGCTTTAAGTGCTGATGGTTTTTGGTTTAATATTTTTATAGTTCTGTGCTATGCAAATTAAGTTTGATTAATTGATACTTTATTCTTTATATGGACAGTTCTGCAGACATTCAGGTGCCTTTGTGTCGCAGGTGTCTAAACTGTGTGTGGTTGTGTCTCAGTGTATTCGGGGTAACTGTAATCCTTGTAATGGTTAGCTTTGGCACAAAATAGCTACTTGGTCATCTACCATTTCACTCTTGGCAAGTGGTATGCAGCTCACCTTTTCCATGGCTCAGTGGGGATTTCCAGACAACAAACACTATTACTTTTTTTTTCTCTGTTCAGTTTCCAGTGTTTGCTGAAGCTTGCACTGGCAAGATCTGCAAAGTCTAAGTTTGCACCTTTTCAAAAAATAAGAATCAGACTGAGAAGGTTTTGGAGCCACGTTCATGACCCAATACAAACTATGTCGGAGAGGAAATGCGTCTATTAAATCACTGATAGACTGTGTCAGACCTGGTTTCAAATGTGTATTCACATTAAACAAAGCTTGAATGCATGCACCAGCATATCACATACCACACCAGCCTCTGAATTTCATTTTGGTATACAGTATATCAATATAATGGTGAATTCAAAATCGTTTCTATTATTTCACAGGAAAACATATCTAGATGCACCATGGTATTCCCTAACGCTAACATGCCAACATTTACCTGAATGAGAGAGGCTGCAGCAGGGATCTGTCTGTTGAAATGCTTCTGTCTCTGCTTCTGTTGGACCTTAAGAGCAAACCCTGAGCCCAGGATGCCCTAATGTGGGAACAATTAGGTTTTGCATTGTATTATATCCATTTATCCACTTCAATCAGATACATGTATATGGCATTAAAGATGTAGATAGGTAAATTCATATGTCTTATCATTACATCAGTAGAATATTACTAAAAAAGGACAGAGACAAAAATGTCTAATTGTGCTTCAACTGAACTAAAATGAAAAACAGCAGTCATAAGGTTGTAATAAGGTTGGGACTAGATGAAACAAAAGTTTAATAAAAATGAAGTCTTTCCTTACTGCTCATGAATATGATTTAGATTAAATGTATATTTACAGCAGGCAGAGCGAAGAAAGAGATGGCGAAGACACTGAAGCAGGAGGCAATGGCCTTGCCTATCCATGTTTGAGGGATTTTGTCTCCGTAGCCAATGGTGGTGACAGTCACCTAGAGACAGAGAGTGTATGAAGTTCCTATTACAGGTATTAAGATTGACAGGAGCAGATTGTAAAAAAACAAAACAAAAATGCAAACATATAAATCCCATAATATTCAGGGCCCTTTACTGATGCAAGAAATGTCAGGAAACTTAAGAGTTCAGAAAAGCTACACCACTGCACATTTGGGGGAAACCAGAGTGAATCCATCCTTTATGCATTTCATACAAAGCCTGCCAGCAGATTAAGTATCTTAAAAATACTTGATAAAAGGAGCCAAGTAGGAATCTTTAATTCAATGGCTACTCATGTGTTTTATCAAAGGTGAGTTCATGTCAAGCTATGTCAGTTATGATAAATCTCCCCGTATAAACATGAAATATACACGTAAATAATTTGACCTTGAATGCGCCGTTGTCTTTTGGTTTTAAATAAAACTTGAGTGAGAAAGATAATAATTCCCTCTCACTGTTAATAAAAACGTCAGTCAGTGCAGAGCTCTTACCACAGCAGTCTATAACAGGAGTTAGACAATAAAGAAAAAGTTCATCAGCAGTCCTGGCCTTGCTCCACAACTGTCAGCGATGGCCGGGGCATTTCAGGCTTTTGCTCCTCAAAGGGAATAAGATTCCCAACCACTAATCCTCAGTGAGTGTAGGAATTTGCTGGGGTGAGGGGGGAAAACAAATACCTCTTGCATTTGCATGTACACCCACTCCGAAAGCCGAGCCAATTCTGACACATTCAGAACACACTTGGCTTACCGTGGGTGTCTATGGGGTATCACCTCGTGAGCCACTGCTGTGCGCTAACACAAAGCGGCTGATGTAAGGTGAGATACTTAAAAGGGCTTTGGGAGTAAAAAAGAAGGAGCAGGGGCGGGAAGGGTGGCAGTGGCTGGGGCGGCGGGTGGAGTAGTGGGGGATTTAATCCCTCATCCACAAATCCGATGACTAAACAATGTCCTCCTGACCATCAGAGTGGAATGGTCTACTCAAAAACACCCCTCTCATTCAGACTGTAGGGTGTGTGGCAAAAACCTCTTCATATCTACACAAAGGTCACAGACCTGATCGCTGTGCTGATCTGCATAAACAATGTACTGTATGTGTGATTACACCCAATTCAAATTGTGCATGAGCACCAACCACAAAATCGCAAGTTTGGAACAGCTTTCCTCATTTTCCCCATCACACTGTGTCCTTTTTGAAGTTTGAAAGGTTGTTAATATCAAACAGCCATTACCTAACCATCAGCATTTGGCAAAAGACGAAGAGAAGCAGGGAAGCTCAGGGAGGGAGGGAGGGAGGGAGGGGGATAGAGAGAGAGAGAGAGAGAGAGAGAGAGAGAGAGAGAGAGAGAGAGAAGGGGATATGAATCATGGCCTTGGCTTGTCCTCCAGCTGTGCCCTGCACCTGCACATCCGAATGAGGAAATCATGCCAGGAGAAGGAATACGCGCCGGGAGAGCTTAGCGCTGTCCAATCAGCACAATCTCATTTCAATAAGCACACACACACAAACCTGAGCAAACCTATTGTGACACCATATCGTGACTCTCAAGCTTACAGTCTCTGAAAAACAAAAAGGTGCCGATCGCCAACCGCGATTCTTTTCTCCACGTTGTGAACAGAGCAACACAAATAACAGCTTTTCTTCAACTTTCCATAGAGAAGCAAGGAGAACTGTGACCGCTCTAACCTTCGTTACATAAAGGTAGTAATCCCACAATTAAAGTTTTAATTAAGGGAACTGACACTTTATATTGGTGCTTTAAAAGATCTTTGAGCCAAAGAGCCCAGAGGTGAATGGTTTATTACCGTTTCTTTGTGGCACACTGATCCCCTGCACAAGGCTGCCATAGGTTTCTCATTACTCTGCGGCTTCAATTCAAATGTTTAATTAACTGCTCTGGAAACCTGAGCCTCCACACAGAGCGAAATAGGCAAAACCAGCTCTACTCACGAAGAAACATCAACACACCTGCCTCTGTGTCAAGTGTTGCACCAACGCATACATGCAACATGAAGAACCAATGGAGAGAATAAAAAAAAAAAAAAAAAACGGAGAAAAAGGAGGTTCATTATAGGTCTAGCTAGAGTGGCCAGCCATCTCCATTTTTCCAGTTAAGACTCCACTTCAGAGTACATTGTACAGATAATTTGTTAGAGCTCTTCAGAAAGAAGAATCTTTTTTGATATGCATGTGGCGTGGCCTTTCAAGTATGTAAGCTATTTGGGGGGGAGGGGGGTTCAAGTAGCATTCAGGGATCCCAGTAATATATGCATTGCAAAAAAACAATTTTCAGAAAACGTACTCATACAAATGTGGAAATACCTACAAAAACTGCTATTATACAATGCATTTCTTTTTCTAGATTTTCTGCCTTACCACGCCCCACCACAGGGCATCGGCGTAGCTGGAGAAGCCCGTCTTGCCCTCCTCATCTACAGCATCCTTCTCCGCCAAGTAGACAAAGTAGGAGGAAAAGATCAGGCCCAGGAATCCAATGTACAGAGTGGTGATCAGCTCCTGAAAAAAAATACACCTGAAGTCAACTAAAAGCACTACTGTGAAAATGTTGTGTGAGAGATTATACAGGTATGAAGAATGTACCGAGACCACTTGTACACTGTACTAATTGTACTATTTTACTCTGCTTTGCTCGCTGACAAAGTTGTAACTGACAACAGCAAATTTACATTCCAAATCAATTTAGAGCTGTAAAATTACATAAACAGTATTAAAATTGCTTATAAGGGCAAGAAACATTATACAAAATGTACTGTGACAATGTGCCCTGATCTTTTTTCTAGGTGTTAAAGAGCCAGGTTGGTGACAGCACACATCAGCATCACTTCAAAACAACACAGAAGTTTCAAATGACCTGTGAATGACATGCTGCGTGCTGCCCCTAACTGATGCCAAGCTTTCTCCTAGTGTTTAAAGCAAAGGCTGTCAGGTCGGCTTATCCCTGTCTGGGTCTTCCCCCTGTCCATGTGTGCTGAAGAGACTAGCTTGTAGCGTCATTATTACTGGAGCCATGAGAGCGTTTTTGCACACGCAAGACTTGTCAGCTTCCTGAGTTTTATTGATGCTCTTAGGCCTCTTAGGCTTAAGATTTAAGAGACCGGTCTTGTGTCAGATAGGTCACCCACCACCTTCTGCAAAGCAGGAAGGATAAATAGGATGTGGTGGTTGTTATAGCTAACTACTATACAGTAGTTGGTAGGTCTAGTAGTTAGTAGGTTAGTAGGTCTACAATCAGTCAGGATTATGGCATTGAAAAGGACACTGACGCTGCACTTACATGGAGAGTCGGTCAGTTACAAGTGACCATTTATACATTGGATGCTTCTTTGAAAGTGTCATGGCAGAGAGTGAGCACAGTTTCTGGCCTTTGTCCCCTTTACCTACTGAGCTGTGTTTGAGGTTAAAACCCAGATGAATTAGGACCATAGTTCTATGAAAAGGGATGGAGACCTCCAGCAATACAATACATTTCCACTAAACAGAGCAGATAATTTGATAAAGTGGTCATCTGACAAAAGGGAGATGGCAACAAATCACATTAGGCTCATCCTGGATTCATCTGAACATTTATTTTCTTGACCTTTGCACGCAATCCTCAGTAATCGGTCCTGTTCTTATGCATCAAAGAGACATGAATGTCAGATTTGACTATAACCAAAGAACACTGTCTACTTCAAGGATTAAGAAAAGAACCTCTGACTTCATTGTGTATCAGCCTGAGAAAGTACTAAAACAAGTGTACCAGGATACAATGAAGAAAAAAGGAGAGGCAACCTTGACTACCTCTCTTCTCCTTATATAGCCAGGTCTGCTGTGGCTTATTTGTGCACGTGTGCATGTATGTCTGACTGTGTACACTGGATTTGTTATAATAAACTGTAACTATGGTATGGATTACAGCTTCTGCCTGCTGTCTGCCTGCTGTATAAGCAGCCGATAGAAGAACCTGCTGCTGAATGACCCAACACAAGGGTAAATGGCATTCTTATCTGTCTGATGTGTGCAGATATTTGAACCAGGCTGTGTTCTTAGTGTGACACAGGCCAACAAAAGACAGTATCAGCCTGAATACTCTAAAGGTGCCATATTGTATAAAGTGAGATTTCCAGGTCTTTTTTGATTATAAAGCAGGTCTAGGTTTTATATTAATACTGTGAAAATATCAATGTGCTCAATCAATGGAGATCTGCACACAGCCCGTATTCAGAAACTGAGCTTAAAACGAGCCGTCAGGACTTCCGTAACTTTGTGATGTCACAACAAAGCAACGACCGCTCTCAGCCATACCCCAAGCTCCACCTACCTGAACCTACCATCCAACCTTGCAGGATTTGGTTCCTCTGAGTGTTTACCTGAAATCAGCTATATTTTCATTCAATTACTCAGAAGACAGTCAGCTAATCAGAAGAGAGGCTCAGAGCCCCCTCTCTCTTGATTGGCTCACTGACCTGCTGTTACTAGAGCTCCAGAGAGAAGCCTGAGAGAGTTTATGTAAAAATGTATCTTCTTATGGATCAACACTTCAAATAAAGCACTGGAAAAGTGTAAAATATGGGACCTTTAAACCCACCTGTCGATGAATGAAGACTACAGATCCTAGAAGCCTCCATGTTCCCCCCTGTCGATCCACATGTAGCATGCGCAAGATTTGGAGGAAACGGATGCCCCTGCAACACACAACACCGCCTCATCTGTATTATCATCTTCTGAGTCAACTCCAGCTATGAGTAAAGAATAAAATGCAGAACTGATTCATTTCTCTACCTGATGGCAGACGTGGCAAACACTTGGCCATTGGACCCTACACCCAGCACAATGATTGAGGCAATGACCACTATCAAATCTGTGAGAAGGAGAAAAGAGACAAAGACAGACAAAAAAAAAAAAAATCAAATTAATTGTCATCAAATCAGGGGTGGAATCTGTTCAGTTTCAATGAAAGCTTGTACTAAAATAAAGCCTTACATTGCTTGAATGATCTAAGTTGTTGATCTACAAGAACAAATCATGCATCCGTTGCATTAAATGGGAACAAAGGAAAATGCCAGGTGCACCTATGATTGATATGGGCTTCCTGATAAAGCGGAGGCGTCCTTTGATGCCCGCATATTTGCTGCGACAGCCTGCCGACCACAGCCGGACCACATACTCTGTGCCAAAGAACAGCACCAGCACAATCTCCTGTGGAGCACAATGCAAACACAGAGCAAGGGTTACATTAAACCATTGGTACAGAGACAATAATTGCGAAAAACACATACAGATCAAGAGGATGTGGAAGTAGATAAGGTATCATTTCTAAAAGCAACGATAACGCACTGCCATGCATTAACACTAATCTGAAAGCATTAAGGCCATTATAATCAATCATCAAGGTTTACGATATGATATGAGTGGGCAATGACAAGTGTGTGACATAGAGAAAGAGAGGCACTGAGGTGGTCTAGTAGGACCGAGACCACGAAACCACCCAGGAGAAAAGATGGAGGTTGATAGCATGGCTGATGACAGCTCATATTGAGACAGGGTCAATGGCTAAGTGATTGGAGCCACAGGATGAAATGCCACCACGCTGCCTACGAACAGATAAGAATGATAAATAATCATCTTGAATGTTGAGATTGTGATGTAAATGTAAACCTTTTTGTTGCACCTGAAGACAGATAAATATACTTGTTATGAAAAAATGAGGATAACAGATTCAAACTTGTATAGTCCAGAGTCAATGAATTGTTTAGATATTTGTGCAGATATAACCTCACCTGTCAGCAAAATGAACACCTTTCAGTCAGACCTGTCCATAGATTATGAAGTGGTATACAGACATAGCAACGGGGGCAACAAACAGAGTCTGCTACTCTCATGCACAAACAATAAGGCTATGGCGGCTGGGTGGGTTCAACTGAAATGGATGTTATAGGTAGCCTGGTTCCAAACCTCTGAATCGCTGCCAACATCTCCGATTTGTTCTGCCATTCGAGTATGAATGAATGAAATGAAACCACGTGGTCATTCAGCCTGATTATCAGGCTATGTTATATGGATTTACTGAACCAATTCTGCCTCCTTTTCTCCCTCTCTCTTTGTCTTTAACTCAATAACAGAAAATGAGCAAATGATGAGGCCTGACAAGGAGAAAAGGAATCCCAGACAACTCAAGTGCAAAATCTAAAGCTGTAAACATGGTTAATTAATGAATATAGGCAAACTGAAAATTTAGAAAACAGCAAAAAGGATGTCTCCATCTGTCTGCCTCATCAGTATGATGATCCTTATAAGGGTCTTAAGTTAGTATTCAAAATAAAATTGATTTCCACACTGCTGCTGCTAAAGTATCACAAATTTGTCAGTGCATTTTCTATACTTGAGTGACACTGTTGCCTGCCAGGATAGTGTCTGGCGTGATTGACAGGTCATTGTTTTTGGGCTCTGTGGTGCTGTGTTATTGCAGCAGGGCTCGTGGTATTACGTTTCATATAAGGGGTGGTCAGGGAGCAGCCAGTTCAAGCAATCAACGAGATGGCCACCCACATGGCCTTAGATTTCAACAGACAGTATGGTGGCTAAATATGATGGATACACGGTGGCCAGGAAAGAGATCTCCACCAGACACACTTAATTAGTTCATAAGAGGCACATGTTTGTTGCCCCCGATGCTGTCTCTATATAACACTTCATAATCTATGGACAGGTCTGACTGAAAGGTGTTCATTTTGCTGACAGGTGAGGTTATATCTGCACAAATATCTAAACAATTCATTGAATCTGGACTATACAAAGTTGAATCTGTTACTGACCAACAAGGTGGGAACTTTTGATACTTCCATCCTATTTACAAAAGCTCTGGTTACCTTATTATGGGAGGATAATAATGTTCATTGTGTGTATATGTTTTTAGAAAAAAAACTAATAAGCTTTTACTAACATTGCCACACAGCCCAAACCAAAACATTAGCACCAGCACAAAATGGCCAAAGAATTCCAGTTCATCAAGCTCAGTAATTGGGACATCTGGGTTACATTTCAAAGTCAAAGGTAGACATGAATTTGGGGCATTTGAAAGGATTAGTCATAATAATTCCATAAAATGGGTCACCCAGATGTTGGGGTGTTTTTTGCATGTGTATCAGAAACTGGCAACTACATGTTTGCTGAAAACAGCCGCCTGTTCGCGCAGTGATAATCTCGTCAAGCCAGACGCGGATGAAGCTCATTTGAAGAGCTGCTTGGGAATTATGGTATCACATGAAAATGTGATTAGATTGCTTCATCTGTGTGTCCCACTACAAGGGATGAGCACGTACGCGCACACAGACACATAAAGTCGCTCATAATTACATCTATATTAACCTAAGCTTTACGAAGCTTTTGCAACTCATGGATGGGACACAATCCAAAGTAATGGCCTTGTTACTCATGTTGGATTTCAGACAATAATGTCAATCCCATTTAAACTGCACATGCTTCAGAGGAGAGTAAATTAAAATCTCAGAATTAAAGATATTACTTCTTTTTTTCTAATTTGTAAGATTCACTCATGAATACTCTTTATAATCGTGTGGCCAGTTTAGTTTTCCCTTCCACCTAGCAGGTAGATGATCTGAATATGATCTCATTCTCATGGACTTTAAACATCAGATCAGTGTTCAATTACTTCTGGTTCAATGGCATAGCAATTGTAATCGAAACAACCAAAAGATTTACATCAGGTCACCAAAAAAAACCTTGAGGGTTCACCCCCTCTGACCAGAAATAAAAACAGCATATTTCATGGAACAATTCATATTCAACACAACATTGACATTTTTTATTGACAATGGTGCTAAATAGACGTCATTACTATCATTAGGCATCATCTAAAAACCATCAATATCCAAACAGAATGAATGAATGAAATTAGTGTGGCAACTAAAGCGTTGGGTGGATGAACAGACCAACAAACATTTGAGTAAATTGTTGGAAGATCGTTAACAGTTTGTTTCAGTTGGATGTTCTGTTGCTAGTAGCAACAGCTGCTGGTTCTTAACTGACATCGTTACATCCAGGCATCTTTTATTGACTTGTCAGAGCAATATCTGTTGATTTGTCATTCAGTAGAACTAGAGTTTTTCTATGATCAGCTTACTGTTATATCTAAGCATTATACTAGCTCAGTGTGCTCAGTGTGCAGCGTTCTTAGTAACTGTGTAATTACTGTTGGGATAACTTGTGTCTTCAACTGTTTTTCCTTTTACTCTTATACTGTGAGCAGGTACGTGTTTGCCAAATTATTTACTGTACTTCCTATGGGGAATCTTTGTTGATACATTGTTTCTTCCTGACCTAAAGTACGACAGTCTCTACTTTTGTGAATCCAGTTTCCTCGTAACTGTACTAACTCATTTTACAATAAATCTGGCCTGTCTGTTACTGCAATCGTCATCATTTCCTGATTTCAAAACACTGTCACTGAATTTGTCATCAAATTCAATCCACAGTTTCACAACTGTTTCCAGTGTAATTGTGTAATCCAGTGCTTCCAATTCTTTGAAATCAACAAAGAAAATAATACGTAATACGTATAGAACAAATGAACATAGATCAGGCAACATGTTTTAAATCAATCATGATACTGATATGGATATTTTTCAACTACTGATATTTATCTCCATATAACAAACAGATGAAAAATTACAAATACACTTATTGAATTATAATATTCAAAATATTTAATGTGCTCCACTGTTATGCATTAGGGGAAACAAACCCTTCACTTCTGAAACCAAACCTTAGCAAATTTTGGTAGCTTTTAATTATAATTTGCTTTAAAACTTTAATTTAGGCAACAGAAATCTGTAAATACTAAACAAAAATAATAAGGCTTCTTCTTGGGGCTTTAGCTTAGCATCATCAATATGGTAAATTGGTGAGAGCAGGAGGTAGTCTGTGTAGACCTGAGCTTAACATAGGCCACGTAGGCCACAACAAAATGAGAAAAAAACTTAATAAGACTTTATATTCAAATATTTAATGTAAAATCATGTGACTTTATCAACTCATTCATCATGATCAAAAATAAGATTTTAAGATATTTTATGGCCTCAAATTACAAAAAGAAAGAAAAAGAAAATCAAATTTAGACTTAATGGATCTTCAGCTATCCTGCTTTAATGGAAGTGTGTTTAGCCTGCTGCATACTTGTACACCTACACACATGGTGAGGGCAGAAGAATAGTTCTGTAGTATGTGTTAAAATTTTAAAATAGGGAACTGATGAACATGACCTGGGCAGAAGAGAGGACAAAGAAGAGATCCATGTGACACATGTGTGTTCCTCTATGCCTCTGCCCAGCCTAGATAGCTTCACTCTGGCAGCTGCCCTGAAGGCCAAATCTCCTCAAGGCCTAATGTCCCCTCTGCCATCCAAAACAAGCAGCCTGCGAATCACGGATGTCAGCTAACCCTGAACTTTCTAAGTATAGCTGCTACCACCAGTATATGCCACCATGACACCACTCACACAGCTCCACCCCCTCAAACACACACACATACACGCATGCAGTGGGATCCAAATGTCTGAGTTACTTACCCATTCGAGTAAATTGGAAAGTGGTCTCAGACTTTTGGACCCCACTGTATATACACATGCATACACACACACTGAAACACAGCCAGGTGTATAAATAAACCGTACAAAAGAAAACACTACGAAGTAAAAATGTATGTGTTTGTTTTCTCTCTATGTCTTTATGGAGCTGAGAGTAATGAGGCAACAGAAAAAAGGTGTAAGGAGAGAGGAAGGTGAAGGAAGGAGAGAGACAGAAAAAGAGAAAGTCAGGGAGAAAGAGAGTTGGAGATAATGACAGAGAGTATTTGGCTCTTCCTGCGTATAAATAAATGAATAACCGTGATAGTGGGTCTTCAAAGGGCACTGGCCAAAAGTTTACAGAACACAGTGTCCACTCTGTCCTCTGATTGCCCCCGGGACTCAGGAGGTGGTACGTGTGTGTGTGTGTGTGTTCTTGTGAGAGTGTGTGTGTCTGCCCGTGTGTGTGTATGTGTGTGTGTGTGTGTGTGTGTGTGTGTGTGTGTGTGTGTGTGTATGTGTGCAGCCTTTGTGTAAGTGTCTGTGTAAACTGTGCGCGAGTATGCGGTAGCTACGTGTGTATTTATATTCACAGTGTGCTGGCAAGAGACAGATGATGCAAGCTCTTTGTAGAGTTTCCAAACGGCAGTCGTAATTTTCTCTACCTGTTGTAAGCCCTGGATTTATTGCATCACTTAGCAGCCTTAATGGCCTAATAAGCCACAAAAAAGTCAATTTAGCAGCAAGTATCAGCAAGTACAGTCTGTGTGGAGCCAAATGGTTCCGCATAACTGGTGTCATCACAATCGTGTAAAAACAATGGCTCCTGAACATACCCATGCTCATAATCTCTGTACACATGTTACTTGTTGTTAAGTGCTTTGGGTGCATGTAAAACAAGCTGTCAGGTGTGGACCGGCTTGCAGTAACTACAAGTGATTCATCTGTTTGAGCTTTGTAATATCTTTGGGCTGAGGTGTAAGATGGCGGGTTGAGATCCTTCCCAGCCAAGATCTTCTGTCTCCATCATGTGGACACAGGAGGGTACTGCAGTGCAGCTAAAGACTAGTCATGTGTCTCTGTGTCTGCATCTTTTTCTGGAAAAATATCACTTTTGCTATCAAGAAAAAACGCGCAACAGGCAAATGTCAAATGTTCTACTGCAGTGAATTCTCTCAGCAGACAAGTGATAACACCCACATCAACAAGAGAGCATTATGTGGGCTGCAACTGATGATCCTTTTCATTTTAAATTTGATTAAATGTTAAATCCACACAATAAAAATTGTAAAGTTCTCAGAGCACAGGGTGGCATCTTAGAGAATGTTTGTTTATACCCAGCAAAATCCAAGAATATTTGATTTACAATGGTACAATACAGAGAAAAGCAGAAAATCCTCACAATTGAAAAGCTGAAACTAGAGAATGTTTTGGCCTTTTTGCTTCATAAATGATTTGATTCTTAATCACTTTCCGAAAATTGTTGCCAATTTTGTCAGCTCGTCCATTTACATCATTTCAGAGGAAGTTTTTTTAATTATTGGTGCAACCTTGTATCTACAATAATCCATGAGTGAATTATTAGCTTTGGTTTGTTTGAGTATCAGTACAGTGAAACTACTCACCATCCAGAAGAGGGTTCCAGTGGCAAAGTCTGCATATTGCTCTATAGTTGACAAGACGCTGAAGATTAGACACACCAGGACCATGAGAAAGCTGTAGGAAGAGACACAGTGTTTTGAGTCAGTTATCTCCCACTCACCACATATCACTCACTGTTCCACTAATGAAATGTAACAAACTAGAGATACTTTATCATTGTATGTAAGTCTTGTTCTAGTATTTATCTTTCACTACATTTTATTATTTATTATCATTATTATATTTTTAAAAATAATCAATGAATCAATCACTTTAATTGTTTCCAAAGAGCATTTGGTTGGGCAGCAGTGACACAGAAACTCAGGGCAAAATACATCATATAACTAACTGTAGGGGCTTATATTAGTTTACACCTAGAAATGGCAGAAGGTATCAGATTTTGTATAGTCTGATATCCTATTTATGTCTGTAGAATCAACTGGTCTGTAAGTTGTGCTTATCCTTTGACTACAACCTTCGCTTTTATTCACATTTTTTCACAGTGTCACTTTTTACACTTGAAATAAATGCACCCCCCCTTTTGCCTCTTTCGCTGTTCCTGTCAGTGTGCAGGCAGTTTTTACAGGAATGGGACAAATGAGATTTTAAAAAGGGAATCATAGGAGTGTAGCTCTGGGTGTAGGGGACGGGCAGCGTCACACAGAATGGAGCCTGCTTTCTTGAAGAGTCGACTGTTTTACAAAACGGGCAGGTTTTTCTGCCGAATAGCATTTTGCTGCAGACAAACCACCTGAGTGAGCGCATGTTTCTGATACACACTGAGAGATGCAACTCAAAATTATAATATTAGCTACAAATGAAAAGAAACAAGCTGTTTACAAGCCAGTTTTCCTGCATAAATGTCAAGGTACTTTGTCTGTTTTTCTTTTTGTCATCAATCTGCTTGTATTAACAGCGAGCAGGATGTTTCCACGTCTCCTAGCAACAGTAAAACATTCCGACGAGACCGTCCATCTGTCAGTGTATATACATAGTCTACAAATATAGCCGTGCGAGTGTGACATCCACCACCAGCACACCTACATGAAGGTAGAGGGCAAGGAAAAGGAAGGAGGGAGAAGAAGGAGTGAAGTGGGGGGAGGAAGGTAAGGCTGCAACTAACAGTTATTTTCAGTATTGATTCATTTGTCGGTTCATTTTCTCGATTTACTGTTTTATCTGCTTTTTTACGTATCCTCCTAGAGCCCAAGGTGACACATTACTCCATCCCACATACATAAACTTACATCTTCAAATACATTTACACACACACAAACATGGAAAGAAAGAGAATGTGGTCTTAGATCATGCCTATATAATTTCCCCAAACTGCAATGGTGTCTGCACTAAATTAGCTTGTTTTGCCTGAGCAACAGTCCAAAGATATTGAGTTCACCATCATAGGAGCACATCCTCATATTGGAGAAGCTAAAAACAAGAGATGGTTTGGCATCTCAACTTGAAAATTGACAAATATCCTGCTGACCAGGGGGCCAGATTATGCACGATAAATAGATACATTTTTATTTTTTTAAATACACCATAATAACAATAATAACAGAGACCTAAAAACCTATTTCATTATGTCTTTTATTTTGCTTATTTTATTCATGGTACCTCATACCATTTATTCATTCATTGGCTTTCTTAAAATCAAAAATCTGATCGTTTACTTTTATTTTTTAAACTGAGCATTACTTGCATTTTCTTTTGCTACTGCAGTACACTTCATTTAAGCTACTTAAAAACTTTAAATTAAGTTTTTTGGATGGTAACTATAACTTTCACTTGAGACATTTACCAACTTTATTAAAAATTGTATTTACTTCTTAAACCACGGCACTGTTGATTTAGTTATTCATTTGCTCATTCTAAGTTTTTAAAGAGGCTCATGACGGGCTTCGCCGGGTCTTTCCTGACCGTACAGGAACTAAGAGCAGAATCAGTTGTGTGTGTTTTCACCATCCCAGAAGTAATCTGTGGAACACATCTTTTAAGTGCTTTTCCATACCATCAGTGTTTGCATGCACCATCATCACAAACATATAGCAGTGCATTATGATGCTGTGTACCACAAGCAGGATTACATGCCATATGCTGGAAGAGTCTTGTAGGTGGGGTCTGTTGTTTAATATTATTCATGTAACATACAAAATAATGCAGAGACACATATATTTGTATATATTGCTGAATGCTAATTTCACTGAGGCCACCACACTGGAGGTTTGATCTATAATTTCTTAATTATTGATCAAAGTATCCCCAAAAGAGAAGCATTTTATTAAATGAGACACCCATTCCAGACCCACCTGTATATACACACACACAATCCAGTTAATTTAAGGAAAAGATGTAAAATGTGTGCTATACTTCAAAGATCTTACTCATTTCTGGTCTGTCAGGTGGTAGGATAAGTGTAAGACAGAGTGTGGTGATAGAGGGCAAGATTCCTAAAGGAGGATTCCCTCACACACAGTCTATAACACATTGGCCAGATGGGACGGTGATTTTATTCTGAGGATTAGTTCTCACAACCCCCCCACCCCACCCCCCCACCCACCCACACACCCCCATCCTCCCCTTGGATTGTGTTTTAAAACACAAATACAAGAAAAATGCAGAAGCTTGGGAGCACAGTGTCCTTAGTGTATTCCCAGACCTATGATGAAACCAGTCATCAACAAGAGGTTGAGCTGAGGTGACATCATCCCCTCCGACTTAGTACAGTACTCATCCCAGTATGGTAGTGAGGATTTTGGTTTGGTCCCCTCTTTGCTCCACATTACTGGACAGGCCTTCAGCCTTCGAAAAGCCTTTGAAAGCAGCCAGTCACATCTTGGGATGTTGGGAGTGCCAGCTGGGCTAGCCAATGAGATTTCATGGTTAGACACGCCCCTTGGTGCGGGGGTCCTCGACATATGGGAGTGAAGGATTTGAGATGTGTATGACAACTAAAATCTAGGCTTAGAGCCAATCCAACCCCCTGTAGAGTGTACATTTTCACTAAAAGCAAATGATTCCACATGCAGGACATCGCGTAAAAGCAGGCGCAAAAGAGGTCATGCAAATGAGGAATGAACCAGTTGTATTAAAGCAGTCTTACTGCTCAATTTAAAACTGTAACTTCAAAAATAAGGGCTGAATAAGATGTCAAGAAATTATGGATAATTCTTATCACATTTGAAAATTGATCAGCTCCAGCATTTGCCTGCAAAATTCTACACCACAATTTTAATGAATTAATGTTTTATTGCTGCTTAGCACAAAGGCCACTTGTGGAAACTGAAGTGTGGGACTTTGCTGTGTTATCCTGTGTTGTCTTACTTGACTGACTTACTTTTCTTGTCAGATTAATAGTAATAAACAAAAGTAAATAAACCATCTGTAGTAAACTAAAGAAAGGAAAAGTCACCAAAACACTGTGAGTCGCACTTGTATCAGATGATCAACTATTAGTTTTAAACTTCATCATCAGTGGCTGATCCAGATCAGTTCATCCACCATTAAACAGACTACAGCCTTAGCCTCCAAAGATACCGTACTTCCTGCTGCAGCTCCCTCACCAATCTAATGAAATTGTTTAAACTTTTTTAAACATCTAATGTTAATGTCTGTTTACATCTGTCTGAGTTTTGGGAGCTTGCACAACGGGCAAACTGAACTATATAACAAAATGTCAAATTCCTTGATGTAAAAAATATCTCTGACAGAACTGTTTAGTTCCGCTGGCTATTAAAAAAAAAGAATGTGTTGCTCAGGTATGAAAACAAAATTCCCCATGCAATTAATAATACTGACATTCTTAATTCTCAGTGCAAATCAACTCCACAAAAAGCAGATACAATGCATTCAGACCACATGTATGAGACACAGAGGGGGAATGTAATATGAAAAACAATTGTGATATCCATTTTGCTGTGGTAATCTTGGCCTTTGTACATTCACTGATTTGATGTGTCTGGTCATTGGGAATAACTATTTGTTATATGTTGTTGCTGGGCTCTCAGGCAGTGGCATTACCAGTGACCAGGCAGAGAGAGCAGGTCAAACAACGGCAGGTAAAGTCAACTCAAAACCCATTTCCCTTGTGTTGAAATGAGATCATTTTATTAGGATAAGCATGAATATGATGTCACAGCCATGTAGGTCACTGACAAGGTCATGTAATCTGTGTGTTTCCCCTCAGCGTATGGGACTATGGCCTTTGTTTTGTTTTGGAGGGATAAGAGTGGACTGCAATAATATAATACTGTCCCAGCGGTGGGATAAATGCCATAATTCACTGGACAGACCGTCAAGCACAAGGCAGCAGCCAATTCTGTATTTAATGAAGCTAATTAGAGCAACATTACTGTAATATATTTTCAAGTGGCACAAGCAGCATAGTATGTCTTCAAAATTTTGATTGGCACTAAAGAGAGCAAAATGCAATTTTCCAAGCAAACGTGGAGTCTACATAGCAGATGGTTTACTGGTTCACACAACTTCAACTTCACATTACGAATGTCCCAAGCAGATCAGCATGATCAGAATCAGATTGTTTTTTTTGTTTGTTTGTTTGTATTTTTTTCTGATGGATCATATTGACCATATACTGTAGGGCCCAATCCATAGCTAATCATTTAAACCACAGCAGGGGTATAACACCTGTTGATGTATTCTGTTGTACAACCCTCCAGCTGCTTGAAAACTGAATTTTTGTTCATGCTTGGAATTAAAACAAGCAGTTCAAAACCTGTCTAAAGATTTGTGAGCAAAAAATGTAATATAGATTAGACTTTATATTGTAGTAATCATCCATGTAAAAAAAAAAAATCATACTTTGTACGTCGTACTTGTAGTTGACATGACTTCAAGTTTGCAACCAATGTCTCTTCACACATAAAAAGCTCCCAGGATTAAACAACACAAAACATACAGCCCTGATAAAAACCACTGAATTGAATGTAATGTTTTAAGGTGCTGTATTTATTCAGGCTGTATACAGATAGTAGCTAGACAGCGTGATTTAGCATTTTCCTAATGTCATATCCTAAAGCTTCCTGCATTGACACCCCAGGGACGTGTCTGCTGCA